GGAATCTTTCCGTTAACGAAGCAATATAAAAGGGTTTCTAGATAACTGGCCTAGTGATGGGCTTTTCCGCTGGGTCGGGCCTTTCTCAAAGCCCTACACACTCCAAATGTCTCACCAAATTGCGGGTTTGGTTAGCACCAGATCCGACATCCACAATCCCTTTAAAATTCATTAGTTCTAGAACGTGAATCAAGCAATGCATCATCAATGAACTCATTTGGCTAAGGTGAAGGTCAAGAGACAAAGATGGTCCCTTAAAGAATAGGTTTTAGTAAAATGAGATCTCTCAAGAATGATTCAGCTTTAGTATAATGCTAAAGGTAAGTCCCTAATTATGCATACAGAGATAAGATCCCATCTACCCAAAGTATAACAAATGAAGCTCTAATGGTAATCCAATCTCCAATCCCAAAATAAGAACTTAACTCTACCCTTTGCATTCATGAATCTTTTAAACCCTTTTTCAGATCATTCTTTTCTTTTCTCTTAACTTTAAGAGAAGCTTTCTCAACACTTTGATACTTCTAACGGATTTGGATTTCTTTTAAAAACTAAGGTTCATGTTTTTAATCTTTAAAACTAAGGGCTTTTTACCCTTCTTCTTTAACTGACAAGAACCTCATTCTTTTTTTGACATTCCCAAAACCTTTACTAGACTTTTTCTAACTTCTTTAGCTTACTTCCCCTAGAATTCCTTTCCCTTTCGTTATCAACAATGAATTCACTATTTTATTTCTTTTAGAAACATCCCAACCCACGATATAAGCGCCCACCTAGTCCTATCTAGTCTAGATAACGTAAATTAGAACTACATGAGACACTATCTCTTTCGTTACGAACCTAACACTTTCTACCAAGCTCATCGGAATAAGACCTCAGAGACACTCACAAGTGATAAAGGCTTGAAAGAAGGTTTAGGCTTAAGGTTGGGGTTAACTGCTCCAATAAGGGGAGTCAGCTACTTGGACAAACAAGAGTCATCTAAGGAAGTCCAAGTATTTTAGGGTATCCATGAGTTTAAATTCGATGTTAAGACATGATAATTTTAAATCAGATTCAGGTTCGAATTGATAGGGAATGATATAAAATCTTCACAGTGTGGTCGAGTAGAGCATTTTAGGTATGGTGCAGTTCTACTTCAATTTCATTGACTATGCATCATACAACTAACAACGAGGGCACTGAGTTTATCGGGTGAACCAAAATGCTTACAAGGCTATCTCATCATTATCCCCTATGCAATGTGAATGCAACAATCCTATATGAAACATCCTAGACTCAACCCTAAATGTGATGCAACTACATGAACAATCTCTTTTTGTGAAATCATTTTCAAAAAATTTTAAAATTTTGTTTTATTTTTTTTATGCCTTATATGAATGCAGACTCAAGAATATATACAACACAACACACACTTCGTGAGCCCTCTCCCAATATTAAATCACACAGTCCTCTGTGTGACCAAATTTGGAAGAGAGTACTCCAGACAAAACACATCACAGAAACAAAAACAAGAGATGTTATTATACAATGGTTAAGTGAGGTGCTTACCTCAGTTGAAGAAGGAACGCAGTTGATCGTCGATGGCTGTCTGCGATTGCTGCTAGGCCATTGAAAAATCTCCATGTTGTGTCTCAGCTCCGCCATGTGCGTACTCAACCTCATCTCCTCTATTGCGGCAAGCACCGCCTCCTGAATACTCGACCTCTCTTTTTCTGCTGCGGCCAGCGCCGCCTCACGAATACTCGATGATAATAGGATTTTAAGATCAATTACACCTAAAACACTATCCTGTCGTTGTAGTATTATAGGTTGTTAATCCAAATGGGTGTGATGCTAGCAATCAAGATGCAATCAGAGTTCAAAGAGTCAAGCCAAGCAATTACAGGTTTTGAGTTTCTAGGAGTCCTTAGTGAATATGGAGGAAACAGAAATTCAAGCAGACATAGTTAAAACACTCGACCAACACAACTTGTTGCCAAGCACTCGGTGTGGTCGAGTGACAAGTTGAGTAACAGACATAAAATTTAACAAGAATACTAGACTGCACAGTCTGTCACCAGACAACAGGGTGGTTGAGTATCTGAGTGATAACATGCAAGAAATGTTAAAATTAAGCAATAGGTAACAAGAAACAGTAAACGATAGCAATGTAAATAAAGAAATCAATTGGATGAGAAATTCCCGAGGATGGGATAATCGAGTAGTTAGTTTCCTCAATCTACAAGTGACTGACATGCTCAATAAACTATCCCTAGACAACAAGTTCGATAACCAAATCTAAGTGCCACCGCAACAGAGACCCTCAAGTTAAACTAGTCCCAGACTCAATCACCATTGACGAGAGCTAACCTAACAAGCATTACAAATCAACAAGTTAAAGCCAAAACGCTCCCTGTAACCAATACCTTAGGAGAGAGCCACGAGTCTCTCTAATTAGTGGTTCAGACATTTCGTCGAACACTCTTTTGGGTGCGAAAATGTATGGGCTCAAATTCTAGTTGATCAGAAACCAATAGGCATTAAGAACAACTAATCTAGAAGAGATCTATAAATCAAACTCAACCACCTAACAGACTAAGGATTCTAAACTACTCTAACCCATCCTGAGAAAGCTAGTCACTACTCAGACTTCATTGCAGAAAACAAAAACGATGACATGAATGAAAACATCATAGCAACAGAATGATAAGAGAACGATAACAGGATGATGAACTTAGTAATGAAAAGTGAAATACTGGGACTTCCTCCCAAGTGAGCTTGTTTTAATTCTCTAGCTTGACTCCTCACACTCATTAGGCTTAAGGAGGGTGAATGAGAGGAATTGAAATCTTCTCTTCTTCCTTAGTAGATACAACATCGTACTTAGCATGCTCTCTTGACAGGTCTGTAATTAAGTACTCTATGGCCATTTCCTTGTAAGCTTCTTTTTCTTCTAATGGGTAGTCTTCTTCTTCAAACCATTCTGAAGCAAACTTCTTCCTTGGGATAGCTTCAATGCTAAGTTGAGGTTAAATAGCGTCCCTCTGCATCCGACGCACTTTATCCCTAAGTTCCTCAACAATGTAAGCTAGCTTCTTGATGGTTTCTTCTTGGAGATCAGACTTCCTTTTGATTTCTCCCCAATCAACTACATAGAGCGTACTAGATTGAGTTGTTGAGTTTGAAGGTCGTGTTCGAGCTAAACTTTGTTTCTTTACTCTGTAAGTCTCAAATCCTTCTTTTGTAACCACTCCTTGGACCCCAAATGTATGTCCCTCTATGGTTGATCTTCTTGGAGTTTTGTTGATGTCAAACTGTAACCTGATATGCTTCCAATTTTTTACGTCGATCACCTCTCCTACTGAGGCCAAGAAAGGTCTTCCTAGGATTAGAGGATCTTTAAGTTCTTCATCCATCTCAAGCACAACAAAGTCTGTAGGCACTTCTATTACATTAATCTTGATAGGCATATCTTCTAATAGGCCATAAGGTTTTCTTAAGGTCCTATGTGCAAGGATCAAGGATAAGTCTCACGGCTTATACTTGAGAAATCCCAGCTTCCTTGCCATCGAAAGTGGCATTAGGCTGACTGAAGCTCCTAGATCACATAGACAGTTTCTCAAAGCAAGTTGCCTACTAGAGCATGGTAGAGTGAAAGATCCCGGATCTTCCAACTTTTCCTGAACAATGTTCTTCAGGATGATTGCACTGCACTCGTGAGTTAACGCCACCATTCCTTGAACTTCTATGATCCTCTTTGGAATCATGTCCTTCACACAGTTGTGTGAGTCCGGTATTAGCGCAAGACAATCTACTAGAGGCATTGTGATTTCAAGGTACTTCAATTATTTTTCCAAGAGAGCTTCATATTTCTTTATCAATTGCTTTTTGAATCTCCCTGGAAATGGTAGTGGAGGCTTGTAGGGTGGAGGAACAAAGACTTTATCCTTGGTTTTAGCAGAGGAAGGCTTTTTAACAGAACGAGGTAATGCATGAACTAGGGATCGAGTACTACGATCGAGTATGAGCTCCTCTGTTGCTATTTTAGCTGGTGTTTCATTCTGAACAAAATCCTCCCCATCTTGATCTACACTGTTCCTAGTGATAGAGGTAGGGGCATGTCGAGTTGGCAGCTCTCGATCATGGCAAATAGTGATGGCGTGTGCAGTGGCATACTCCTTTGGGTTCTGGATTGCTTTTCTTGGAAGTTGGCCTGGGTTGTTGGAAACTGATGTTGAAGCAGGCTTCCCTTCCAGATATCTCATCCTAGTGCTCAGTGATTCAAACTTTTTGTTAAGATCATTAAATGTGCAATCGACTTTGTTGTTTAACTCAGCCAACTTCTTAGTGATTTCCCTTGCTCCTGTTGCATGTCCTTGAATTATCTGCATGAGCATGTTCTTCATATCCGAATCATGAGGCGAAGGTGCTTGATGTTGTTGTGGTGGAAAACCAGGTGGTGGCTGCTGTTGTTGATAACCTCTTTGGAACTGTTGCTTTGGAGCAAACCCCTGACATTGGTTGTACGGAAAAAAAGGTTTGGGTTGTTGTTATTGTTGCTGCTGAGGGTAGACTTGGTCTTGTGGGTTGGCTACATTGGTACTTCTGTATTACAGATTCGGGTTGGGTCTATAATTGTTGTACCCTTTGTTGTAGCCACCTTGGTTGTGAACATACGTGATTTCAGAACAATGATCATCCTCCCCCTCTTGGACTTGGAATAGTTCATCTTCACAGGTGAAGTGAACATGCTTCTGTTGCACTTGGAGGAGTTTGTCTATTTTGTCATTGAGAGCTTTAATCTCTCTGTGGTTCTTGTCATTAGAGTTAGAGCTGGTGCAGATGCTTCTGTCGTAATCTTCATTATAATTGTCATCCGATTGAGCCAAGTTTTCAACTAGTTCCCATCCTTCTTCAACATCCTTCTTAAGGAAGTTCCCATTTGATGCGGTACAACTAGCATCCTTATCTTAGGCTGGACGTTTATGTAGAGTGTGCTGAGAAGAGAAGCCTACTTAAATCCGTGATGAGGGCATTTGGTTTAATAACCCTTTAAACGCTCTCAAGCGTCACAAAAGGTTTCAGTTGCTTTTGAGTGAATGAGGTCATTCCGGAGTCTTGCATTTGTGGAGTTGGAGAAGAATTTAGCCAAGAAGGCTTTCTTGCAGTCATCCTAGGTTGTAATTGAATTCTGGGGTAACGTCTTTTCCCATAGATGGGCTTTATCTCCAAGTGAGAAAAGAAACAAGCGAAGCTTGAAACCATCTTCACCGACTCCATTGATTTTAGTAAGGCTATAGAGCCTTTCAAACTCGTCTAGATGATCAAGCGGATGCTCCATTGGCAAGTCATAAAACTTGTTCCCCTGAACCATTGCAATGAGACCGCTCTTGATCTCAAAGTTGTTGTTCTGTACGGGAGGAGGAACAATGCCATGACGCTGGTTGTGGTTGTGTGGAAAGTAACAAGCACCAATGTTGTTATGTTGCATTAGCTCATCTACAACGTCAGCCATTGTGTCTGTTGTTGCCTGTTCTGTTAGTTGGCGAGCAATACGGTCGATGTTATCGTTGAATAGGAGGTTCTGATTCCCTTGTGACTGTGTATGCATGCAACAGGTAGCAACCCGACTATAACAAACTAATCAGAGATGAGTATGTAAAGTTGGTTGCTAAGTACCTTAAATACTAAGACTAAAAAGACACAATGTTAGTATCTCTTTTTAAAAAAACGAATTCGATCTTAACAATTCTAATGATCTTAAATATAACTTACAAGCACCCAACTGGCAACGGTGCCAAATTGATATTATTCTTAAACCACTAATGTTGTTGTTGTAGTATTTTAGGTGTCGATCGATTCAGGTGTGATGCAAATAGATGAGATGTGATCAGAAGTCACTCAGTCAAGCCAAGCAATAACAATTTTGAGGTTTCTAACAGTCCCAGAAAACATAAATTCTAACAGATTTACAAAAATCACTCGACCACAACTGACTGATGCCAGGAGCAGGATGTGGTCGAGAAACAGGTCGAGTATCAGACAGAAAATAAAGCAACTGTACTTGATTGCACAGTCTGTCACCAAACACTAGGTGTGGTCGAGTAAGTTGGTGATAACAGGTAAGAAATGCGAAAAGTGAGCCACATGCAATAAGAACGATTAAAACGATAGCAATGCAACCGACAAATCAAATAGACGAGAAATCCATAAGGATGGAGTAATCAAATGGAGTGGTATCCTAGCCTATTCAGATGGTTAACAAGTGCAATAAAGCTATCCCTAGACAACAGGTTCAACAACAGATTAATTCACTCGCGTGATAGAAATCCTTAAGCAAAGCTAGCCAAGACTAATTCCCATTAACGGAATCTAACTATGCAAGCAATAAGAACCGATTGATAAAGTCAATAAACGATCTAAACGGCCAATCCCTTAGGATAGATATAAATATCTTAGGAACTAGTGGATCAAGCATTCCATCAAACACCTTATGGGTGCGGGAATGCATTGGATCAAATTCATGTTGATCAGACAGAAATAAGCAGTAAGCACAACTAGTCCTGAAGGGGTTCAATCAATTCTAAAACTTAACTATTCTACAGACTATAGATCTCACAACCACTCTATCCCATCCTTAAGAAATCTAAGTCACTACTCAAACAACATGCTTAAAGCCATAATCGCAGATAAACAAGTATAATGCATAAGTAAAGAGATAAAGAGTAGAGAAACAAGATGACAGATGAAATCAAATGCAGAATCCGAATAACTTGGAAAAATCTCGAATTACAGGTTACAGAAGCAAAGTGGTGCCGCCAGAGTAAACTAGGTAAACAGAAATAAAAAACTAAAGCAAAAAGCTGAATGTCGACTAGATGTCTGAGGACAAAACCCTCAAACACCTATTTATACAAAACGAAATAAAATGATAGTAGATGGGCCGGGAACCCAACTGACCAGCCCATAGAGTGATAATGGGCCAAGCAGGTCTCGTGATCAGATGAAGCTCCGGACAGCTTCCAAACACTTCTTCTTCTTCTCTTCTATTCCTTATGCTCAGCTTCTCTGGTTGAGTGCGGATTTGAACAGACTCTGAAGATGTGATCGAGTGCTTGGTCGAGTGATGCCGCTGGGTGGTGAGTGATGATACTCGACCAGGGGGTCGAGTGTGGTGATAGAGTGAATGTCCGAGTGGTGGTCAGGTGGTGTGACAAAGTGTTACTCGACCATGGGTCGAGTGGTGTCATCGAGTGGTGTCATCGAGTGACCTGGAGTGTGGTTACTTGACCAGGGGGTCGAGTGATTGGTAAGAACGGCTTCAATGTTACTCGACCAGGGGGTCAAGTGATTGGTAAGAACGGCTTCAATGTAAAATTTCCTCAAAATTCTTTTCTTTACACAATGAATTGAGTGTCAAGATTAAGCTAGAAGAAAATGAGTGAAATAAAAAGTAAACAAAGTAAGAAGACAGAAGATTGATTGGTTATGAAACGATAAAATATAGATTCAGGATTAGGGTATTCTTAGAAAACTATTGGTTAGTAGATCTAATTATAGCTAGGTTATTATCGAACCATTCTTAAATTAAAATTCTAATTTTGGAATAACAGGTGGCGTTCCGGGAAACTCTCAATACCTATAGTTAAAAATAACCAAAGAAGCCGAGAAACCTTATACTTATACATGCATTCTAATCGAGTTCGATTGTTCACCTTGGTAAATAGGCCGATTCTTATTACACACCTGTAAACCAGGTTCATCAAATTATAGAACCAAAGACAGATGCCTATGGCGGGTATATCTATTGTTTGGAATCAAGTTCTAGTTAATTACTCTACAACTAGCATTAAGAACAATTAAAGATGAAGAATTCTACAGATAGCCTAGAAAGGGGGCGATCTACTAAACCATATGAACCCCTAATGATAAACCCTAACCCTAACAAGCAAACTACTCAGACATAGAGATTGAAACAAGCAGCATATTCAAGTAAGAAAGCATAAAGACATCAATAAAGAAAAGAGTTAAAAAGGATCTCTTCACTGTATTGAAAACTGAATGAATCTGTGAAAACAAGGGATGCATAGCTTATGTCTCTCAGGGAAAACTTGGTAGAAAAGAACTTAGATCTCAACAATGACCTCTAAAACTATATATATGACCTAAAAACGTCCAGGGACTAACAGTGCAAATAGGGAAGTCTTATGGGGCAAATTTAAACTTCTGTAAACTTTTAAGCGTCAGGGACATCTCCGGGCCGAAACTAGTGTCGATCGACACTCTTGATTGGATTTGAAAGTGAAATCGTCTTTCGCTTTTGCTCTAAAATGTATCCTCATCTCCATTGTTATTCCTCTTCATAGAATACCTAAAAAGACTCTAAAAAGACTCTAGAAATAATAAAAAGACTCAAAATCCTATATCGAAAACATAGGTAAAAAACAGGGTTATATCAACTACCGGAAGCTCAACCATGACTAGAAAGGACCATTTCCCTTTACCTTTCATCGATCAAATTCTCGAAAGGTTAGGCAACCATCAATTTTACTGTTTCTTAAATGGTTATTCAGGATTTGTTTTAGATACCAACCCATACGGACGATCAAGAGAAGACAACCTTTACTTGTACCTATGGAACATACGCATGTAGAAGAATGCCTTTCAAACTCTACAATGCACCTCCCACCTTTCAATATCGTATGATGTCAATCTTCACAGAGTATTGAAAATTTCATGGAAGTCTTCATGGACGATTTTTCGGTTTACGGTTCATCATTGGAATCTAGTTTGGTGAACTATTATAATTTCTAAAAAATATTTTAACTCAATAAAATGACATTATACTAAAAACGACGCAACAGACTCCTAAGAAAAGGAAAGATATAGTTAGCAACTGACTCCCCAAGACTTATATAACGCTATCCCTTGAGTTAATAAGCTAGAGAAATAAAAATAATAATTATATGATTTGTAAATTTAGAAAAATGAAGTTGCCACCTTTACCGTGTATTAGTGTCGATCAATACCTGGTTGGTGCGACACCCATGTCGTTAATATGTTGCTCTTCGAGTTTTGCTCAGAATTGTTTATTTAAGGTTAGTGTTTTCACATGGATCCTCAAGTTGAAACTATTAAATCACTAAAACACACATTAATAGGTTCAAATAAGCATAATGAAATAGGTGCAACAAGTTTCAAATAAAATAACAAACCGACTCATAGAAGTGAAAAATGACTCAAGAATGAAAAATTAATCGAAAGCAGGAAGCAAAGATAGGGAAGATGGCTAATTCTCATGCTCGGAGCCAAAAGTGGGTACTGGTGAACGTTGACGATGGCGAGTAGGAGCAATGCAACCACAGCAAGACAATGTAGCTATTGCGTTCCAAATGCACTTGAAGCTGTCGACCAAGTACTGCTGAAAAATCGGTGGTTCCATAGGGATAGGCAAAGTAACAGGCAGGTCATATGGCATGGCTGAAGAGGATGACCCAAAACGAAGAACACCAGCAGGGTCAATGAACTCATCCTCTGTTTGAGTCGGGACTGATCTCTGGATGTGCCTCTTTGTCGCCTAGAGTGTCGTGCTGCGTGTAGGAGGGAAAGATGATGACGGAAGGCAAGTGCCCGAGGCTCTTCTGTAATGTCAGTAAGCTATGTGCAAGGCAACTGAATCATATGGTTCCCTGGACCATATCTGAAACACCAAATCAGACTGCCCTTCAACCAGTGAGCGCTCTTCAGATATGCCTTATCATGTTTCACCTTCTTAGTCACAATCCTTACTCCATCAATGCTAATGTTGAAATGCTCGGAAATAGGAGTAAGAATGCTACCAATCCGCTTAATCTCTTTCCATATTCCACTAAAAAGCTTAGTCTTTGGAGATTCCAAGTGATGCGCAAAGACGGCTCCAAAGTTGACATCTCTGTCACTTGCCTCCATCTGTAGACTCTCAAAAAAAGAATCTCCAACATCATAATAAAGCATAAGTAGCTCATATAGCCTCATCTTACCAGGCTCCATCCTAGACAAGAAAGTGTTACTAATGAGCCTAGCCAAGTATCGCAAGACAGGATGACAAATCTCTGAATGCACATAATCCTTAGAATCATA